TTGGCTCTTCAGGGATATTTTTGGTTCTCTATAAATTTTGGTTGTTTGACAAATACCATTGGTGTTTTGAGAGAAATTACATTGAATCTATAAATCACTTTGGGTAGCATAGGCATTTTAACAATGTTGATTTTTCTAACCTATGGGTAAGGATATCTTTCTGTTTTTTTTTTGTGTGTCCTCTTCAGTATCTTTTATCATTTTTCAGACTGTTATTTTTTGGATATTTCATTTAATTAATTACTAGATATATTTTATGGCTTATCGTAAATAGAATTGCTTTCTTGATTACTATTTCAAATAGTTCACTATTGGCATATAGTAACACTAATGACTTTTGTATGTAGATTTTACATCCTGAAACTTTGCTGGATTTATTTATTAGTTCTAATAACCTTGGTAACATTTTTGTGTCTCTCTGTATGGAAGATCATGTCACCTTCAATGATTATTTGATTTCTTTTCAAAGAGTCAACTCACAGTTTCATTAATCTTTGAGTTTTTTCCCCTTTGTGTGTGGTGTGTATATATCAGTTTCATTTATTCCCCTTCTTTGCCTTATGGCCCTGGTGACGTCCAGCATGTGCTGAATAAATATGGTGAAAGTAGGCATCCTTGCCTTATTCCTGATCTTATAGAGAAAGCTCCTCTCTTCCCTATTATGTGATGTTAGTTTATTGGCTTATTATACATGTCCTTTAAAATGCCATATTCCTTGTATATTAGGTTTGCTCAACATTTCTATCATGAAGCAATTTTGAATTTTATTAAATGCCTTTCCTGTAGCAATTGAGATGTTAACATGGTTTTGTCCTTAACTATATTGATGTCAGATTTATTGATTTACATATACTGAACCATCCTGATACCTCTAGGATGAATCGCACTTGATCAAGGTGAATGATTTTTTAATGTATTATTGGATTCAATTCTCTAGTATTTTGTTCAGGAGCCTTATATCTGTTATTAATCACACTGATCTGTAATTCTCTTTTTCTATTTTGTTTTTTCCAGTTTGGGTATCTGGGTAGTTATGGCTTCATAGAATGTATTTATGAGAACTACTTCCTGTTCTACTTTTTGGAGAATTTTATTAGTTCTTTAACTGGCAGAATTCTGCAGTGAATCATTGTCCTGGGCTTTTTTTTTTCTTTTTTGTAATGGGAAGATTTTTACTACTAATTCAATCCCATTAGTTGGATTTTATTGATTCAGGGTTTCTATTGAATCTTGATAAGATGTATATATTGAAGAATTTATCTCTTTATTCTAGATTATCAAAGTTGTTAGCATGTAGTTTATAATAATCTCTATCTTTTACATTTCTGTTGTGTCCATCGTAATGGCCTCTTTAAAAAAAATCTACTTTAGTCTTCTCTCTCCTTTTCTTAGGCTAGCTAAGAGTTTGTTCCTATTGTCTGTCTTTTTAATGAGACACTCATAGCTTCATTGATCTTTGGGATTATCTTTTTTGGTGTACATTGGTTTCTTCTTTGATATTTACTATTTTATTTGGTTTACTAATTTGGGGTTGACTTTGCTGTTGTTTTTCTGGTTCCTTAAAATGCAGTGGTAGATTGTTTATTTTAGGTCTTTCTACTATCTCTCAGCTTTGGAGAATATATCCCTTCTGCACATCTGCAGGATAGCTTTGATCGGTACAGTACCTACTGTCAAGAGACTGACAGCTTTCAGTACCAGAAAGATTGCTGGGAAACCTGCTGTCAGACTAAGTGGGCATCTTTATGTGTTAGTGGTTTCTTTTCTCTTTCAACCTTCAGAATATTCTTATCTTTTTCCTGTGACAGCTTGATTGCCTTTTACCTTGGCAGAAAGGTATCTCTTGGTAGACTTGATTGAGTTAGATTTGACTGGTGACTGTTCACCTTCCTGTACCTGGACTTCTGAATTCTTCTCCAGGTTTGTTAAGCTTTCTGTTTTTAATTTGAATAGGCTTCTACCAGTTTGGAATTATCATCAGTTCCTTCTTAAGCTGTAATAACCCAAATGTCTGCTTTCTAGTTTCCTTAAATTTTTTAATTTATGTATTTTATTTTATGTGCATGACTGTTTTGCCTGCATGTATGTGTGACTGATGCCATGGAGGTCAGGGGAAGGCATCAGATCCCCTGGAACTGCAGTTACAGGCTGTGAGCCACCATGTGGGTGCTGAGAACTGAACAAGAGCAACACGTGCTCTCAATCACTGATTAACATAGTGATGATTTTTATTTTACAACTTTGGGTAGTGTGGGCATTTTAACAATATTAATTTTTTTGAATTTATGGGTACACGGTAGCTCTGATTTCTATGTCTTCTTCAATATCTTTTGTCGGTGTTTCACACTTTATTATTACCAATCATCTATATATTTTCAAGTAGATGTTTTCAAGCATACTAATTCTTCCTTCTGTTTCAACTATTCTGTTATTGATACCTCCTGTATTGCATTGTTAATCTTCCTGAGTGAATGTTCAGCTCAAGGATTTCTATTTTCAAAAACAGTTACCGTGTCTTTTAAATTTTTCTGTTAGACTGTTAAGCCATTTCTTTGTGTTTCCATTGAGATTGTGAGGTTGTTAGTTTCTTTGAAACAGTAGTTTGAAATTCTCCATCTGAGAATCCCCTGTACTGATCACTTCCTAGTCACTTCTGGCACTTTATTTTGAGTTGTAGGTTTATATTTCCTGAAACCATGTACTTGTTAGTGTGTGACATCATCTAGGCATTAAAGAATCGGTCATCTGTTTCACTTCCTGATTTGACACCCCTCATCCACCTCCAGAAATTCTAAGCAGTTTTTTCCATATTCTCTGAGCCTGTGTTCATTCCTGATATGTCAACACTAGATGGTGCCCAAGTCCAAGTTTTCCCAGAAGTTGGCTGTTTGTGTGTTGTCCTATTTCAGTACTGGGAGGCGATCTAAGCCCAGATTTATACTTAATACACCGTTGGTGTTCTGTTCAGAAAGAAATAGGAGAGTATCAGGAAAGACTTATCTGTTCCTACAGATATATTCCTGGGTCCACGGTAGGCCAGATGCCTCATGTACAGTAGTCTGTAGTCAGACACAGAAGGATTCTGCCGGGCTCTAGGTACTCACTGTGGATAGACTGAACCTAGGTTTCTGTGTGATGCCTCTGTGCCCATGCTTCATCAGCATAAAACTTGATTAGAACCAAGGCCCACGCTGCTATGGGCTGTTTTTTTCTAAGATGAACTTGTGATCCAGAACTACTAAAATCAATCACAGCTGCTGTTCAAGCTGACAGTGAAGTCCAATAGAATGAGACTGCACGTTTTCTCTTGGAACTGTAGCTGTTCACAGACAGGCCTGAGGATGGGACCACTAGTATTTGCCCAGTGTCAGGTGTCACCAGCACTGAATTTCAGGGCAAAATCTTGTGCTTGCTATTATGTCTTATTCCCACTGAGAAAAGTCTTACAAAGTGCTTTGCAGCTTGAAGTTGGGATAGTGTTAGGGAAGGTAGCCTGTGGGCCACCAGGTTGATGTTATCAAGCTAGATCACAGGAGTCACACAGCTACAAGGACCTGCACAGCCTCTAGGTGTGCTGCTGGTGTTCACAGTGGAGCTGATGATTATGCAGATCACACCAGTGTGGCCCACTAGAGCACGAATCTCAACCACATATGAGGTCTGATAGCCTTGTCTATAAGCTTTGACCTTGTGATATCAATAACATCTATGCACCTGGAGATGGAGAAACAGTCTCTTAGCTATGAAGGCAGCTGTTAGTTGGGTTGCAGCTATAAGATCCTGCACCTTAAGAAGGAGATTATTGTACCCCAAGTTCACACCATTGCTAGAACTGATACATTCAAAACTGTCCAATCCCTTCAACATACATGTCTGTCTGTACCTCATGCAAGGGCCAATCTAGAGTTTCTGAGTTCAAGGCCTTTAGTTTTTCTGGATCTCAATATGGTGGGTCTGGCACTGTGCTCAAGACAGTTTCTGCTCCCCAATGGATAGAGTTCTGCTTTTTGTCAACTGACAATGCAAGAGATGTCTGACCTAACAGGGTTCCACTGGTTCAATCCTAGGTATTAGGCATGTGGGAGGGATCATGGGGCTTTGCTCAACACTGTAACTCACTAGGATGGGTCTCATACTGGTTTTTAAGTCTGAGGATTGGACTGAGTTCTCTCTCCTTACCCAAAGCTGGAAGTGTGTTTCTCTCTGCAGGGTTCCTTACAGTTGGCATGCGGAGTGATTCTGATAATTCTTTCCTGCTTGCTTCAGTCCTTTTGTTTCATTACACAAAAACAGGTAGGCTGGTCTCTCACCTTATTCTCTTAGCTCTTTGGAAGATAGTTTGGTGTATGAATAACTGTTCAGCTTGGTGTGTCTACAGGGCAAGATCTTATTAGATATCATCTTGCTCCTTAACTTTTATTGTTTGGTCCTGGGGTTGAATCCAGGGCCTTGAAAATGGTATAGCAGGTATTCTATCAATGGGCTATAACCCTAGCCTGCCTTATTTATCCTTTTATAGTCCTTATTAGTTTTGCTAAGCATCTGTTCTTTTAAAAATTATCATTAATTTGTGTTAATTTCCCTTTCCTGTTAGTCATAATCAGACCTGTAATTCTCTGTTATTTATGAAAACTGCACTCCTTCAGCTATTATGAAATCACAACAGAGGGTGTTGGGGATCCGTTATTGTCCTTATGAAATCTACCCTCCTTCTTCCCATTGCTCTTCCCTTCCACCTTGGCCAAACACCCAAGTGTTGTCAATGTAGCATTTCATTGCAAAATATCTTTAAATAAAGAAGTTTTAGCTTTCACATTATACGTTTATATAGCCTATTCCTATCTATTTAAAATTAATTATGTATAAATGACCAAATTCCTTTGCTCAACACTGCTATGGCTTCATTTTCTTATACTGAGGTTCTGTTCTAATTCATTTGTCCATGCATAAGAGTCTTTGCTTGACTTTTTCTTTCTCAGATAAGCCATGCCCCCACTTACTTTATATTTTCTCTTGCAGTATATCTTTTGACTGACCACTTTAAGTCGATTATCTATACTGTGTCACGGATACCTGTGATAATTGTCTGTAAAGAGAAAAGGTTTCTTTCAATTTATGGTTTCATTGTACTACTTTTAGTCAGAGCAAAAAAAAAAGAGTATCTCATAGCTAGAGAAGAACAGAATCCTCAGATCTTCTAGACTATTCTTCAGTGCCTGAAAACCTCCCACAAGGTTCCACCTCTTCAAGGCTTTCCCTTCCCAGTAGCACCAAGCTAGGGACCAAACCTTCAATACATGGTCCTTTCAGGAACATTTCAGATCCAACTGTAGCATTCTACCCTGCTTCCCCAAGGCTCAAATCTATATCTTAATGCTAAGTACCTTTAATGCACCTCAAAGAGTCTCCAGAGTGTTAAATGTTCAAAAGTCCAGGTCCAAAGTCTGTTCTGAGACACAAAGCAAATTCAGCTGTGAGGTCCTGCAAAAATAAAAAATAAAGTTACATGTTTCCATTGGATTAAAGTAAACAAGCATTCCCCTTCTAAAAGTGAAGAAAAGGAAACATCAAGAAGGAATGAGATCAAAACGCAGCAGATATACATTAAATCCTAAATCCTTATGCTCAGCATCCAGGGTACACCATGGTAGGATGTTGGCTCCCAAGGACTTGGACAACTCCATCCTCTACAGTCTTGATGGCTGCAGCCCACGTGGCCACACTTCTGGGCTCTGCTCACTGATTGCAGTTTCATGTGGCAGGCATTCTTTCCTTCCTGGGTCTCCACTGTAGCTTCAGCCTTACTTTCCCAGATCTGTGTTCCATCCTGAGTCGCTTGTCGGGACTCAGACCCTGCCAGGACGCTACCTGTTTCCCCAGAATTTCCTTTGAAATCTCACTGGAATCCTACATTATCCCATAACTTTTATATTCTGTGTGTTAACAAAACCTAAATCATACAGATGAGGTCATTGAGGTGCCCATAGCCTCTGAGCTCCTTACCAATTTAAGCAGACCTAAGTGAGCAGGGTGCCCTGGGAAATCTCTTCTCAAAGACTATGCTCTAGGAAATGTTTGAAACAAATTTGCATATCTCTTCGTCCTTGATGGCTGTGACCTCATGAATTTCAGAAAATCCCTCAGGCATCTTTCTTTCCGTCCAGGTGCAAAGCACTTGACTTCTTCCTACTAATACTGATCTCTCTAGCAGCTGCCCTTTCTGTGCACCCTTTCTGGCTAAACTGTAAGTTTCCCAAATCATTATCTTCCATTCTTTTTTGTCCTCACCTCTCACTACAAATCTGGCTAAAAGCAGCCAGTCATACCCATGCTGTAATCTAGGGACTTTGCTGCCTTGAAATTTCCCCCTCCTGCAAACTCTCAGGGAATAGACAAACAATGTGGGCATCTATTTACTGTGGTGTATTATAACAAGGATGGCTTCTAGTCCAGTTCTCAACAGAATCCCATTTCTATCTCAAACCTCATTAACGGCATTCTTACTATCCCATATTTCTTCTGTAACTGTAGTTATAGCAATGACCCCACTTCCTGGAACCTGTTTCTTAGGTTAGTCAGCTTTCCATTAATTTCCGTTAAGAACCCCCTGACAGAATCAGTTTAGAAAGAGAAAAGAGTAAATTGGAGCCATGGCTTTAGAGGTTTCAGTTTGTGATCAAGTTGATCCATTGTTTTTATCCCTCTTATCTGAGGACAACCGTCACAGTGGGAGTGCATGGTGGAAAAAGAGTTACTTTACCTCCTAGGTGCAATAGATAAATAAATACACAAATAAAAGAATAAGAGGAGGTCTGGGAGACCCAAAGAACTCGACGGGCACAGCCCTAATAACCAGAGCCTGCCACTAGACCCCACCATTGTAGGTTTCCACCATTTCCTGATAGCACCAACACAGTATGTGATGAGACTTTAATTCATAGGGCTTTGGCAGATATTCAAGGTCCAAACTATCACACATACAAACCAGCTATGTGTCATTCTACACAGTTTGTGAATGCTGTGTAGATTGGAGGGTGTTGGAGAAGAAATGAAGATGTCACAAAGGACCCCATGAATTCTATCCTGAGTACATAAAGATTTTAAATACATAGAGATTTAAATCACAGGAATGATATGATTTGATTTGCCTGTCAGCATAATGAATAACAAAATTAGAAAGAGAATAGCGAGAATGATGTCAATAATGAAGGTGAAATGTTGATTGAGAGCTCAAGTTGAATAATAGTGAATGTGGAGATGGACGAAGTATTCAAGAGTTATTTTTGAGGCAAGGATAATTCATACACTTACAAGTTACTTGGTACTTTAAGGAAATGAGCAGAAAATTTAAGTTTAAAGTTTAGGAATGGTAGGGCTGGAGAGGTGGCTCAGCAGTCAAGAGCACTAGCTGCTCTTTCATGGGATCCTGGTTCAATTCCCAGCACCCACATGACAGCTCACTGTCTATAACTCCAGTTCCAGGGGATCTGATGCCCTCTTCTAACCTCTGTGGGCACTGGGCACACACATGGTGCACAGGCATATATGTAGACAAAATACCCATACCCATAAAATAATATAATGTTTAAAGAGAAAAATTTTAAAGATTTGAAATGGTGTTCAATTTGATGATGAAGAAAGTTTATAAACTTTTTTAAATTATAGAGACTATGAGAAATTGTGAGCTATGATCAGAAGTTGTTCATGTTCTTATTCAACATCCAGTGTGTGTTTGTATGGTCTTAGCACTGGGAACAATTTAAAGAATTAATGATTCAGTTCTTATTCTAAGAGCTCAGAGCACAATAATACACTGTAACTTTAGACTGTATTCTACTCTAAGGAGTAATAAGCATCTCTAGGGAAAAAAAATTGTACAAATCTGTTGTCAACTATAGCTCGGCATTCATAAGTTTCTATTTTAGGGTAGTTTACTGACTTGTTTTTAGCCAAGTCTGAAAATCAACTCTCCAGCTGAGTAGACCTTGTTTTTGTTTGTTTGTCTTTGTTTTTGTTTTTTTGTTTTGGGGGATTTTTTTTTTTGTCATAACCACACTCCTGGCTCTCTATCTCAGCAGGACCATGGATAAGTGTTCCACACATCACCCTTCTGGATCCAGACCAGCTAGATTTCTACTTATGTTCTATGTCTTCTTGGTTTCTGTAGATCACTTTAGTCTTGAGGAAAAGCCAATAAAGTTGTTCCTTCCTTTATTTCTCCTCATCATTTCCAGTCCACACCTCTCACAAGTCCTTTACCTGTTTGTGGCATTCCCAGTCCCCAGATTTATCTCATACTGCTTTCAGTGGACATTTAGTAGAGCTCTAATAATTATTAACACGTTTAATATGATGGGCCTTTAACTTTCTTAAGTCACCTTTTTCTAATCCAATTGTTTTATTGTCCTTGATAAAAATTAGTGTTAAACCTCTTTAAAATGTGAAGACACTTTTTATAAAATTCAAAAATAGGTGAACTGTGTTTAGGGATTATATATGTGAGACTAAGAGAATAACAAAATTTCTTCAGGTTTGGAGGCGGCGGTGACAAAACATAAGGGGCACTGCAGAATGATAGTAACGGGCTGAGTTTCTTTGTGTGTGTGTGTGTGTGTGTGTGTGTGTGTGTGTGTGTGTGTGTGTGTGTGTGTGTGCGCGCATTTGCACAGGTACTCGTGCACTTGCACATGAACTTGGGTTGAGGCCGGAGATCGTCGTCACATTTTATTTCTTAGGAGCCAGTTACCTTACTTTTTGAGGCTCACAGATTAGGCTAGGCGACCTGGCCCTCAAACTCCAGAGACCTGCCTGTCTCTTCTCCAGTGTGAGATCACAGATATGCACCACCATGCCCACCTATGTGGGTGCTAGGGGTTGGACTCAGGTCCTCACACTGCATTGCCAACATTAACCAAGTGAGCTATCTCCCATTCTCTCTCCAACTCTTTACATAGCTCTAACATAATAGAAAAATAAACTGTTACTGAGCAATTACTCACTTACCACTCCCTTCTGCTGTTTTAAAGAAGAACCCTAAAATGTAACTCATTTCTTGAATCAGTGTTTATGCATTGTTAAGAAAGAACTTTTCAATTCTTTGTTAACTATATGTTGTTATCACACTTAAGAGAATTAATAAGATTTGGTCTTTATTGACATTTTCTTGATTATCTCAAAATAGGAATATGATTAAAATTTCTGTTTCCTCGCCTGTAAATATATATTTAGATTAGATTAGATTAAATCCCAATTTCCTAATGCAAATAGAACAAATCTTAGTGTTTCAGGGTAATTATCTCTTCCTTTTCCTTTCTTCAATGACAGCAGGTTTGAGATCTCAGCTTGTGTGTGTGTGTGTATGTGTGTGTGTGTGTGCATGTGTGCATGCATGCACATGTCCATGTGTGTGTGTGTACATGCCCATGGGTGTGTGGACTTAAAGCTTCATACATGCTAGGAGGTGCCGTACCACTGATCTGCATCCCCAGTCCACTTCTTCAGATTTTATCTTGAGAGAGGATTCCTCTAAGTCACCTAACCTGGCTTTGATCTCATTCTGTAATTCAGACAGGCTTTAAACCTGGGACCCTCCTGACTCAACCTACTGAGTGGCTGGAAATAGAGGCCTACTTTACCAGGTCTGCCTTGATCTCAGCCTTTTAAAATCCCTTTTATCTTTGTATTTCTATTTTTAAGCCACATTGTCTTTAAGGGTAGTAAGTTTAAATAGTTTTCAAGTGACTTGATATATAGCACGGATTGAGAAACAGTACCAGAAAAACTCAACACCCGTCTCAATTGAATTGTTATGATAAATTTCAAGTAACATGGTTAACTTTTTAAACAGGGTTCCACTCCACCAGTCACAGTTTTCAAAGGTTCCAAGAGGCCTTACTTAAAAGAATGCATTTTGATTATTAACCATGACACTGGGGAATGCCGCCTAGAAAAACTCAGCAGCAACATCACTGTGAAAAAAACAAGGTAGGTGGTGTATTGAAATATATTACTCCGCCAACATATACATTTCTAAGGACAAAGAATTAATGGATTAAGTCAAGTTACAGTAGAGGGTGGGTTTAATTAAAAAAAAAAAAAAACTTTGAATTGGGGCTGCAAAGATGGCTCAGCTGTAATGAGTACTTGCTATGAGAGCGTGAGAACTAGAGTTCAAGTCCCAGTACCTGTGTAACAAGCCAGACATGTCACATACATGTCTGTAACCTCAGCACGGCAGCAGTTTGAAACAGGAGGATCCTGGGCTTGTTGGTCTCCACCCTAGTAAAAAAATGCAAGCTGTAGGCTGAAAGAGAGACCCTACCTCAAATAACTAGGTGGAGAGTGATAAAGCAGCGTACTCAATGCCCACTAATGCACATGTGATGTATGCATACTCCACAAACACAGACATATGCACATATACAAAGAGACACACGAAAAGGTAAACATTTTTAAATTTCTTTAAATCTTTTTCTAAGTTTAAGTTTAGTGATAATCCTTAGTGAAAAGATCTTACCACACTGCCTTGTGATGTATGAAATGCTTTCTATGTGTGTAAGTATACCTTTTGTAGATACTTTTAGAGACTTGGACTGAACAGACCCATTCTACACTATCCAGAATAATTTCATCTTTATTACTCAAATGTGTTGAGCACTTGGGACATGGAAATCACTAGGAGAAGGAAAGTTTGCTGTATAAAGACTAACCATAAGACTTCTACACTTTATACATTTTTTAATCATCTAAACAGATCAGTTAATTTAAAATTCAGTAAGAAAATATAACCACTTTAAATCCTTTTTAGATATAATTGGTACATTCTAAACCAGAAAATATAAAAGCACTTGCTCTAAAAGTTAAACAAACAGTACAATAAAAATTACTGTAAGAATTAAAAGGAGGGGTCATGATTGATAAGAACTTTTAGGAAAGCTTTGTGGAAAATGTTACTTCTGGGACTGGAGAGATGGCTCAGTGGTTAAGAGCACTTGTTCCTCTTGCAGAAGACCCGGGTTAAATTTTCAGCATGCACATGGTATGCACAACCATCTGTAACTCCAGTTCCAGGGATCCAATGTCCTCTTCTGACCTCCACAAGCACTCATGTGGTGCACCTACATAAATACAGACAAAACACACATAAAATAAATAAATCTAATAATAAATCTTTAAAGAGGAAAGAGTAATATTACTTCAAAGGAAGTTAACATTCTAAGAATTACCTTAAATGTGTGTTTAAAACACAAGCTCCTATAATGAGAGAAAGCAAGGGAGAGGGATTGAAGAATGAATATTATCAAAGCACATTATACATGTATGAAATGTTGTAATGAAGCTCATTATTTTGTTCAACTAATTTACACTAACAAAATGTGTTTTCAAAAGTAGTCATTCCCAAAGCCAACCTCAGCTGAGGGGAGAAACCCAAGAACCTCTGTTTGCTAATGTCCCTGCCGCCCTAGCTCCCTCAACTGATGGAAAAGGATACGGGAATACAGAAAGCAGGTGTGAAGGTAGCAATATAGCTGATTTTTTTCAGGGCTGGTGAATAAGACTCATTTAAACAGCAGCCATTTGTTTCTGCACCCATGTATAAGAACTGTATAAGAACTGCAGAGTGGGTAATGATGTTAGTAGGGATTAGAGTTTAGGTTGTAAAGGTAGGTTGAGGTTAATGCCTTGAATATTAACTAAGAAATTAGGACATTTCCTTGCTGGCCGTGGTTACATATTAAGATCTTTCAAACTAGGGATTGGCATGTTTACAGCTCTGGTTTGAAACATTAGTCCAGCAAAGAAACAGAATAAAAAGAACCAATGTGGAAAACTGGAAGGTGTGTAAACCAGGGTTTTTGAGAGTATGAATGAATAAGAAAGTGAGGGGCTAAGAACTTCGGGAAGGAAGAACTGGCACAATTTGATCACAGGAAATGGAAAAGGCAGGCCTCGTACATAATGTTGAAGTGTACTCTTGGTTAACATGTTGAAAAAGAGTAATTACATCTCCTCTGTTAACATGTCTGTTTTCAAATTATGAGTGGGATATGTGGAGGTGATTCAGTTTTAATAGAAGTGATAAATTCACGCATATTTTCTCTTTATTTTAGTCACTTATAACCGATTATCTGCTCAGTTTGAGCAGCTGGGTTGCTCTTGTTTTGTTTTGTTTTGTTTGTTTTTATCATTGTTCCATTTGTATCCCTCACTGGACTGGTGTGTATTCCAAACATATAGAAGGAGCTCAGTAACTATTGGTCAAATGAATTAACATTTTAGTTCCTAAATGTCATCTGAGAGATTTCTCAAAAAGAAGGGATGAAGTTTAGTAACTCAGTAAGTTGAATTTGTTACATTGCTCTCCTGGTATTGCTATTTTGGTGTTTGGTATTCTTAATTGCAGAGTTGAAGGAAGTAGTAAAATTCAGTATAGACTAGAGCAGCAGCAGCAGCAGCAGCAGCAGCCAGCGTGGAACCCACCTAGGCCTTCCAACCTTGAACGCCATTCTCCATCGTCTCTAATGGATGATATTGAAAGAGGTAAAACCTAAGTGTATATAATGTCGGTTTAGAAGAGGTAAGTAATGCTAAGTAAAAGTTTGAGTTCCATTAATAGTGGGACTAGCCATAGGTCTTAGTGAGAGAATAATATATTTTATGGTTGTGTACTTTTCTGAGATAATGATGTAACATATAAATTAGCATATTATAGCCATGTCAGATCATTTCTTTTTTATTATCATTTAGGGGCAAAAAAAAAAAGTGTATTGTATTCACTTCTTCATAGCATCTTCCTGTGAAATGCATTGTTTACAGTCAGTTGTAGATGTCTAAGGCACCACCAAACCAACAGGAGCAGGAGGAGAGTTGTTTCAGCTGCGGTGTCCCTTTTAACAGGAAGGCATCTCTGGGGAGGGTTAGAATGTTGAAAAGGGAGAAACTTAAATCTCCTTCTCCCTGCGCCCTCTACCCCCAGGCTACAGTTAGGATATTGATGTTACAGTGATTGTAACAGCAGCAAGACCCCAGTCATCAATAAATTATTTGCTTCTATACTCTGCCATCATAATTTGCATGTAGCTCAATAACTCCCCTCCCTTTTAGGCCCAGTAAAATACTTAATCCCTAATGGGTTAGTCTTTTCTATATGAGTAGTAAGGAAGCTGTCAACTCCAAACTCTTGTTACAAGAGATCTTGAATTTTATTTTATCTTATGTTACGACTACTTCCAAAATAGATCTGAATCATGCTATCATTCTATACATGTATGTAGTTAGAAAATTAAGGGATAAAGGGGAAGTTTTAGGTAAATTTGCTAGTTATAGAAATTATAATGGAATTTAGTTCTGTACTTACTGGCCAGCAAAACAGAAATAAAGATGTACATTGCATTTTCTATATTATCTTAATATGTAATATAGTAACATAGATTCCAGAGGACCATTCTATTCCTTGCTACTAAATCCTAAAGGCAATTCATTGTATGGAATCAGTTCTAGAAAGCAATAGATTATATCATGTCCTCAATAGTGATTCTATGGTGTAAGTAGAAGGTCCTACATGTGGTGCTTTTGTGTCAGACCTTAATTAAAGCATTGCTTGGAAGTCATAACTCATAGAAAAGAGTTGTAGAGAATCAGTTAACATGAACCAAGAACAATTTTCTTCTTCTGAACTTGTATGACAAAGGAACATTATCTACCTGGAGATGCTTATATAGAATATTCCTTAGACTATATTCTATCAAATACTTTATTGACCTTATGGGTCAATATGGTTGTGTACTTTTCTGAGATAATGATGTAACATATAAATTAGCATATTTTACATTACTACTAAGTTTTTTTAAAAGATTAATTTAAAAGTTAGGTATGTATGTGTGTGCAGGAACCCACATGTGCCAGAAGGGGGCATCGGATCCCTTGAGCCTGGAGTTACAGGTGGTTGTGAGCCACCTGACAAAGGTACTGGGAACTAACCTTGGGTCCTCAGAAAGAGCATGCTCTTAGTTGCTGGCCATCTTTACAGTCCCATTACTGATCATTCTCTGATGGTTGAGTCATCTTTTCCAATTTATATCCAGAAGTTGCACTAGAAGTTTAATATATCAGTTTTTGCATTTACATCTTTGTGTTATCTGTAACTGTGTCTATATCTGACTCCCCATCAGAGACACCAGAAAGCTGAGTGTACAGAAAAAGGAATAATGTCCCATGAGTGTTTGTAGTCTTAAGGTGCTCCTCTGAGCTTGGGTTGAGACTGTCCTTCCCCATCAGGAACTGCATGGGGAGAAGGCATGTGCATGTGGCATCACACTAAGTCAAATGCTCATTCCCTCTCTACCACACAGATACCTTCCCTGCCTTCAGATTTCTCTCTTCAGTTGAAAGGCACCTTGAAACTTGGTGACACTGGTAAGGGGCACCTACCAAAACAAGCGCCTCAGTAGGGAGCATTTTTCACTTTCCTCCCCCTACACACACACACACACACACACACACACACACACACACTCAATCCTGGAAGCAGTCTCTATTGTATTAGGCCATAGACTTCCTTTCCCCAGGAACTGTGCCTCAATGCTAATAAAGCCCCTTTGTCAAGTTCACCAGTGGGAACTCTAGTTGCTGGAAATTTACCAAGAAACCCAAAACAGATCTACAAAAGGTCTGGCATTAGAGTGTCATTTGAAACATAGCCCACAAAAACAGGCAAGTGTCTGCATGCTAAACCCGAACCATGACTGCCTGCTAAGCAAAAGATTTAAATATTGTCCCTAGAATTCAAACCAAAATGAAAATATACTAGGAAGTTACCTGTTATACTGTAAATCAGGAAAATCATAACTTGAATGAGGAAAGTCCACATCAATTTTCAGAGAAATTAGATGTAAGAAGTATCTGATGAGGATCTTAAAATAACTTTCATTGAATGATTCAATTATGATGTCTCTTGAAGCAAGTGAGAAAGAATTAAAGAAATAGAAATTTTAAACATGCATCAATGGCAATTATAAAAATAACAGCACAAACCCACTGGACAGAGAACCCTTTACTAGGGAATGAATAGAGTGATAGAATTCACTTAATCTAAAACAGAAAATATACTGAAACAAAGTAAACAGGTCCCCAAAGATCTGTTGCAGAGTGACAAAAATTCCAAAATTTGTAGTAACTGAACTCTTAGAGGACAGAGAAAAGAGGACTGAAAAATAATTGGAAGAAATAATGCCTGATGACATCCAAGGTTGATTAAAGACATGAACCATGGATTCAAGAAATTAAACTAATCCCAAATAGGATAAACCCAAAGAAATGCATGCCAAGATACATCAAAATTAAACATCTGAAAACTAAAGGCAAAGATAAAAGTCCTGAAAGCAAGAGAGACATGACCTATCACTGTAGAAGAATACCATGTAGGTAATATCACATCTCTCATTGGAAACTCAGAAGGGGCACAATACTGTTTAAGTGCTGAAAGAAATGTTGGTCATGAACTCTGCATTTACCAAAATTAGTCTCTAGTAATAAAGGAATAATAGACTTCCCCAGAAAGGAAGAGTAAAAGTACTTGTTACTGGATACAGTGGAAAAGAAATCAAAATCTACAATTCTTAGTGAGTTACTTTCTCACTATGCTCTCAGCAACAGATGGGGCCAGTGGTCAACAAGAACTGAATAAGATACAGAAAACCCTTTAGTCCATACATCTTTACTTGTAAGTGATCGTTACGATGAGTCATTGGTCTGGTACGAGGCCTCTGATTTCTACTACAGTACCAATATTGGATCCTCACTAGGACTCCTCTTGGATATCCTGCTGTTGCCCTGTGTCATGGAGATCCTGCAGCTTTGGATCTGCAGATCTGGCCCCTTCATGTGCTCCAGCAGATCACAGATGGGGTCATGTTGGGGTGGGCCAACTCATAGCCCTGGTTCTGGGCCTGGGTGGGTGGTAGCTGGGTTGATCAGCCCGGCAGCTTTCCCTCATCCTCAGCACCAGGGTGAACTCTCCAGCACTGTCCTGGCTAGCTCACCTGGACTGTGACTCATTGTGTCACACTATAGCTTCCATGATGAATTATTTTTTAATTTTTATTATAAATTTTATTTT